CCCACTGGGAACTTAGATCGCCTCTGAGGAGGTGGTCTGGAACCAAGGAAAGGTAAGTGTGCCATTCACCCATTTCCCAGCCTTTCTCTTACCTGGAGACAAACACAGCAGGGACTCATTTATTATTAGGCAGTAAGCATCTTTTATAGCAGAAAGCCTCAGAACCCTAGGAGGGGTGGAAGGACCAACCAATCATTTCAAAGTTCACTCTATATTCATTCCTTTGTCTATGGGCTGTTTATGTACTGACGTCATCCTGTCTGATTTTTGTATTCAATCTCAGCGTATACAACTTGAGCTGCATCTGTTAAACTTCCACTCAGCATCATCTTTTCAGCCCATGTCATCCTGTATACCCCCACACCAAGATCCATGTTCCACTCCACCATTTCATTAACCTGCATGAGGAAGTCAGTAAACAACTCCCCTGGCTGCTTAATGAGGTTGTGAAAGTATGTAGATGGGTCACAAGGAGTGTAAGACTTAAGTGCCTTGAAGGCCAGTTCCAAGACCTGTGGGAAATAAGTGTGTTGTACAGTTTGGGCTTGTATGACAGTGTTAACATATGGTTTTTGGCCCATGAGCATCTCAAGAGAAACAGCAATGTTGTCCTGTATACTAAGACAAGCCTCAGCCTCAGCCTAGTCATCATGGGCAGTGCACCAGTTAAGGAAAACTACAGGCTCCAACACAGCCTTCATCAAATGGTACCAGTCATAATAAGTCTGTAAGTGCATTGCTCATTGCCATAGGATTTGTTCAAAATACGGTGAGTCAGCACCTGATTCATTAGTGGCCTTATGGACCAAGGACAAGTCTGTAAGAGGGGTAGGTATCCATGGCTGGTTGGCCACATTGTGGCCCACATTACCTGGAAACACCATGGTGGGCACCATAGGTGGAATAGGCTGGGAGGTATCAGCTGGCTCAGCAGGTAAATGTTGAGGCAAATCACTCCATGGATGCTGCAGTGAGAGGGGTAGCCACTTGAGACATGGGGGGAGGGAAGAGAGGGGCTGCCAGTATAGGCTTGGGCATTGCCGCAATCATTTCCCCTGTCTTTCCATCCTTTTCCTTCACTTTATACCTATTCTCATCTGTCTTCTTGTCAGCAGAGGCAGAGAAAATATCAGCCATGGATGGAATGAAGGTGATAGATAAGTTGATGTTACATTGTTCCTGGCAGTACTTATTGTGGGCCTTAATTACCTCTTCAGTAGAGGAGGACTTTAAGCCAGCAATCATAGCTAATAAAATAGGCATAAAAAAACAATTGGAAGGTTATTCCTGAGGCCACTTCCCAAACTTTTCTGGCCAGGAACAAAAGTCTCATCCAAAGATCAGGTTCCGACATGTTCTCTAAAGAGATCCATGGAACAAGCTCCACAGCCTCCAACCAAAACCTTTCTAGTTCTGATGTTGTAACCCACAGCCCCTGGCTAATTAGGGGGGACTTGAGGGCTCCAATGGGGTCTTCTTTACAGTGAGGAAGGAAGTTTTCCATAGTAGTAGGAGATGTGATAGACAACAGAGACCATGGCTCCATTTCCTGAGGGTCCAGCCCTTATATGGAAATACCAGACAAGCCTGAACAAAAGTTTGTGCCACCCTACTGTACAGACAGACTCACAAACAAGACAAACAACAAGAAGAAAGGGGGGGGTCCTAGTACTTACCTGCTAGAGGGACAGAAAGCACACAATGTAGAGAGGCCTAATTACCAAAATACAACACTCAAGGGGGCGCTCAACTAGTGCCACACATGAGGAAAGGAAGACAACCAGAAGTGGCAGGGTCCTGTGCTGCTGGGGGGAGGGGGAAAGTATGCACAGAGTCAACAACACAGACTCGGGGAGGATGTTGAAACAACAAGCTCAGTTTATTCAGGAAGAGGCAAGCCTTATATACCCTCCACCCCATCCCAGGGGAAGGTCTGATGAACATGCATCTGCTGGTTGTGACATAGCTGCCTCTCATTGGTCCAGGTCATCTCCAATCATGTCTCAGTTGCTGTTGCTAAGGCCCTTAGGTAGACCCAGGTTGGCTTTCAAGAAGTATCTTATTACCAGGTTTCAGCCAGCTGGCCCTCAGGCCTGTTAGGGCTGAGTCTTTCCACACTTACCTTCCTTTGCTGCAGAAATCTTGGCATCTAAGTTGGCCACTGCCACAAGATCTCAAGACCCAAGGCCTAGCTATACCCTACCATTTCCAGCTTATTTTCTACTACCTTATCAATGAGCTTTAAAGAGCTTAGTTACTGCCTTGTCCCTTTATCCCAGAATCCAGAATCACTACTGTATCATACCTCATCACTGTGGGTCTGAAATCTTATCTTGTCGGCAACTATGATTGATGTTGTAATAGAGTCCTGTTTTACCAACTGTGAGACTCTGGAGTATCACAAACGTGTGTGTGTGTGTGTGTGTGTGTGTGTGTGTGTGTGTGTGTGTGTGTGTGTGATATGTGCTCTCCTGAGCCTTAAGAGTGAATATGAGCCTAAGTATTAGAGGCCTGAGCCCTAGACTTCCTCATTTCACAGAAACTCTAACCACATCTTCCCTAGCTGGAGTGATACTGTGGTTTCCTGAGGACTATTACCTGGATGCTTTCCAAATAGCCCTGACTTGAACTGAGTCTTCAAAAGCTCAATTACGTTGTCCTTAAAATCCTTTTCCTCTTTGTCTGAAATGTACTATCCGTGTTCTTTATTAAAAGCAAGACCGAAGAAACCAACAATCACAAATGAAGGGCAAAGCCTTCCTAATTGATCTGGGATTTATAATACTAGATGAACAATTGAAAATGAAAATGGGAAGAGCAAAATGTGGTAGATATATGGGTAACTAGAATAATCTAGTCAATATGATGGTGGCTTTGGCCAGGGAGGTTTGACATGACCATAATTAGACCTGGGTAACAGAGTCTGCAAGATTATGCAGTAGATTACAGCTGATATTTAGAAGGTCAACCCACCAGAGAGATATATCTCTGAGGGAGGAGAAATTCACGAGGTAGGGTCTATGAGAAATACTGCCTTTTGAATAGCTGGCTGCTTCTACCTGTGATTCTCTTGTGTGGTGCCATGGTCCCCTCTAAAACACCTATGGGACTTGTCCTACAACCTTAGCAGTGTATTCTTCATTTATCAGGCACAATTACTCCTATGTACTGATAGAAGGATTACTTCTCCCTACGCTGGGTAATTTTCATGAATAAAATAAGTCTCATAGTCAAGTCTTTGTTCCATATTACAATAAAAAACTTAGAATCCTGTTCTATAATTACTTACTGACAGGACAATTTGGCCAGACAAGGTATCACTGTATTTAAATCACAAGTGGGACTTTCACAGATAATACTCAAGGGTGGAATTACACTACGTCTGGGCTTGTTGAATTAAAGCTCTTCAGTGGTTAAAGAGAACAAAATTGCCCTGAGTTCATCCTGTCAGCCAATAACAGGCCATGCATCCCTACTTTGACCCCAAAGCCTATTAATATTTTGTATATACTTTCACCTCAGTTTATTGATGCAAAGTTTTAGACTCAGTAACTAACAGTTTATGTTTAAGCCCTAAGATTTGTGTGAGTAACAGGAACAGGCTGTTAGCTGACTAACCATGTCTGGAAAGAAAAGGCTTTCTCACCCAGTTACCGTGGGAAGCAGACCCTGCAGATGGCCAGAGCAGCAGGGAAATGCCCGGCCTCAGCCTCGAAAAAAATAGTTGCTAGGCCCCCTCTTTGTTCTGAGACCACGGATAGGGTAGAAGATCTATTTCTAGGGCTGAAATGATTTTTTATGTCAGCTGACATTTGATGAATATGCTGATGTGAATCAACACTGTAGACTTCCCCGTCGACTTACACAGGTTGCCATGGTTACTGACTGATGCCACTTCCAAAGGGGGACTGCACTATCTGAGTCAGGAGAAAACAAGAAAATGGTGTTTTGCCTTTCCATTTTTACTGATCACAAACTTTTAGCTTATAAATTTAGCTACACTTAAGAAATGTAGAATGGTGCATGAATTCTTTGCTTCCTCCTTAGATTTCTCTTTGGTTTAGTTTATCCTCTTTGTGACCTCTCTCTCTTTAAGAGATAAGCCAAAACTTTACAACCACAGCTGCATCCCTGGCCATAAAAAAAAAAACCCACTAACAAGCTGTTGCTACATGTGTCTCTTATGGTATGTACAAAGGTTTTGTAACCCTGAGAAATAAATACCTTGTAACCTTTCTATTGCCAGAGAGTTGCTGAAGTATGTGTATATAATTGGTAGACATTTGAAACTAGAGCAAAATAATAAAAGAGCATGACCAGAACAGCACATGTGTGAGTTTATTCTGTACCCCTCAGATAGAAAACCCTTAAGCTCAGTTTCACTATGCTGTGGACTTCTTCCTCCAACCCTGGATATAACCTCGAGAGCTGGTCTCTCAGGTTACGTTATTTGGGAATAAGGAATCACCAGAGCACTGTGATGAGAGGCATGAACCACATTGCCTCACATGGAAGAGGAACTCTCAGCTGAAGAATTGCCTCCATCATATTGGCCTATTCAAATGTGCATGGGGCATTTTATTGATAAATGATGTAGGAGGACCCAGCCCACTGTGGTGAGTGTCATCCCTAGGAATGTGGTCCTGGGTTGTGTGAGAAAGCAGATTGGAACAAGTCCTGGAGAGCAAGTCAGTAAGCAGTCTCTACTTTAATTCCTGCCTTCACTTCCCTTGATGGTGGACTGTAACCTGCCAGCCAATTAAATCCTTTCCTCTCTCAGGTTGATTTGGTTAGCATTTAATCACATAAACAGAAACAGACTAAGACAATGTACAAATTACTCCTTAGGGCCTGTGACACCAAACTAAGTATCTTGACAATGGCTACTTATGCTAAAACACCTCTGCTATTGTATAACTTTGCCTGGGAAAAGATGAAGAAAAGTCTATTTACCCCAGATAGGGAGCCAATGACAAATTAAAGAAGAGATTCCACCCATGTCTGGTTTAATGAGTCAGTGAGTTTATTAGGGTTTTATTAGAACTTTCTATTGCCCTCTGTCCTCCCCTTAAGTAGACAAGCACATGAGGATAGCTTAGCAACCTGGGCTCCTCTTGGTTTGGGTTTTACATATACTCCTCTTCTGATGGTGCACTGGGCAATCTAGGAACTTCACCTGCAGGTATTATGTATGCAAATCCCCATTTTAAGACTGCACCTACCATCCTAGGACATTACCTACCCCTAGTTGTGCTGCATGTGCACCCACCACAGACAATGGACAGGATTCTCTGTTCCAACAACCCACCATTATCTACCCTTTTACGTCCAGTTTCTATTTAGATATGTCTTGGTGTAAGATTGAGGAGACTGATCACATGGTCAGCCTCACTTCCATATGTCAGCACCCATTGTAAGGACAAGACCAGTCTTCCTCAACTCATTTTTGGTTCTTCAGATCCCTACTCAAAGCATCTACTATGTTACATGATTTTGAGGGGAGATAAAAAACAAATGTCTACTCACCCCATCTGAACAACCATGACAGACCAAAGAAACAATGTCTTCCATGTCTAGCTCATGAATAAGTGAGGTTATTAGGATGAAGGTTGCTTACAGGAGCATTGATCCAATGACAGCTGCATCACTGAAAAAGCCCACTGCAGCATGGCAATGATTCACCACAGCTGCAGCCATGGAGGCCCCTGCAGGATATGCAAGCACCTCAGCTGCAGCCATGGAGGCCCCTGCAGGATGTGCAAGCACCTCAGCTGGTATGAACTGCATCCCCACCCACTCCCCAAAATGCATACTACTTATATAACCTTGAGGATAGCTTCATAAACCCTTTGAATTTCTGAGACCTGTGATTTTCTTTCTGAGTCTTATTTTAGTTTATATTTAAAATGTGTCTTGTTTGTGGCATGCATGTTTACCTGTGTGTGGGTATTTCAGACTTATGTTGGGCCTCCTCCTCGTTGGCTTTCTACCTTTGTCATTAAGGCAGGGTCTCTCAACTGAACCTAAAACTTGCAGGTATACACACTCTAGCTAGCCAGCTTGGTCCATGGTCCCATTATCTCTATCTTCTGAGTGTAGAATTACAAGATAATTGCCACACCCACTCAACATTTATGTGGGTTCTGGAAATTGAGCTCTGGTCCTCAAATGTACATGCCAAGTGCTTTATGCACTGAGCATAAAGCGCCCAGCTTTCAGAGTCTTTGTTAGAATGTTTTGATTAGGAAGCAGTAGCTACAAAACATCTATTCATATCTTTTGTGTGTGTACATGTGTGTCTGTTTCTCTGTGTGTGTGTATTCAAGTGTGCATGTGAAGTTGAAATACAGAGAGGAAAGAATGGGAGAAAGTAGAGAGTTGAAGAGGTATTGGTGATAGTCATGTTCTGACATATTAATACACATGACCCTATGCTTAGGTTTCCTCATGATGGTAATGGATTGGCCAGTGTAAAGAAAATATATTAGAGGAAGAATTTATCTGATGACTACCTGGTAATAACCATTTCATATTGCCACAGTCAGTGGCTGTGGATAGGTTGAGTTTGAACTAGTTTTTTCAATGTCTCTCTAAGGAGAACTTTGGCATCTTCAGTCACTGTGTCGAGGAAAACCCGTTGAAAGTAAAAGATTTTCTCAATGTCAGGATCTATAACAAGGAGCTTATCATTATACAATTTCTCTAAATATTGGACAAACTTTTCTTCTAATGTTTCCCTATTCTTAGTTTCAAACAAATAAGGAGATTTAATGATTTTTTTCAGTTGTTCAACAGGCACTTGGGAATCCTTAGCAATGGATTCCAAGGATGTATCATCCACTCCAAAGAGGACTCGATAGTGGTTTAAACTTGCTGCCAGCTTCTCCTTGTCACACTCCTTGCCTGGTACATGAAGAACAGTGAACAATTCAAGTAAGGAGGTTTGTAAATAGATAAACTGCTGCATAGACTTGTGCTTTCTGTCAATGGCTGCCTCTGTGATATTAGGCAAGGAAAGTATAAAATTGTGGCGCTTTTGAGCAGGAAGATCCTGAATCAGGGTGCCCATCAGAACTGGAAAATCATAGTCAGATAAATTGTGGTTGGAAATCAAGAAAATCTGTGGTGCATCCATGTTATTGTCACGAAAAGAATTCACATAGGAGCTTCGGATCTGCTGCAGGATATTTTCTCTGTCAAAGGCACATGGTTTACATTTCTTTTCATTTTGTAAATCAATGTCCACCTTGGTTCTCACAAAGTAGTAATTCTTTTTCATAATTCTGATTGCTTTGGCAAGGTCTAGTTCAAGTTTTGTAAAACGTGTGGCAGAAACAATAATGAAGAAGTCATATTCTTGGAATTTCACTTTCTCCAGATAATCTTTTGGTGGAAATTTCATAGTTCCAATGCCAGGCAGGTCCCATAAAGTCAAAGTTTTAATTTTAGGGTGTTTGTATGGAGTTCTCTTCATGGTTGTCTCTGTTACCCCAACTTTAGCTGAACCTTTCTCATCATCTCTAACCCCTCTCAGGGCATTGATGAAGCTGGACTTCCCTCCTCCAGACTCTCCTGTCACAGCAATGTTGATTGGGGTGTTATCAATATTTTTTAATGCATCACTGATTACAGATTGTGCCTCCCGAATGTTTCCTCTTTTCAGATGAAATTCTATTAAACGAATGGTTTCCTGAGAAATAATTTTGTTTTCTGTCTTAATCTTCTTAAAATATTTAGTGAAGCTGGACAGCAAATCTCCACTGTCTTCATCCTTGGATGTATTAGAGAATAACTGACCCATGGCTCTGTTGAAAGGGGGCCCTGAAAGAAGGAAGGGAGAGTGAGTTGCATGAGACTGAAGAGGCCTTTGTGCTTAGCACTGTGTGCTCTGTGCTGCAGCCTCAGTTATGTTCTGATGTTAACTAGTTCCCAAATGTGTTTTGCTGATTACATTTGGTCAACAAGAAATGAACTAGAGTCCTTTTGGAGAAGAAAATCTCAGTTGAGGAATTGCCCTCATCAGATTATACTGGGAAATGTTTATGGGACATTTTCTTGATTGAGGATTGATGTAGGAGTTGGTTCTGGGTAGTTAAGAAAACATGCTCAAACTATGGAGAGCAAGCCAGTGAGCAGCATTCTCCCATTGTTCCTACCTTTACTCCTGTAGAGTTTCTGCCCTGACTTCCCTCAGTGATGGACTCTGAGCACAATATGTAAGCCCAAAAAAACTGTTTTCTTTTCAAAAAGCCTTTGGTCATGGTGTTTATAAAAGCAATAGAGAGCAAACTAGAACAAATTTCTACTAGCTCTCAATTAAACTTTTAATTGTGGAAAAATTAAAACTTAAGTAAGGGAAAATAATATAAAAATCTACCTGAGTCCTTTAGCCAGCATTAACAACTATAAGAACATGAGCAACTGTGTTGCTTCTAGCCTTACTGATATTCTATATTAAATCCAAGATATCTAGTTTCTCAAGCTGAAAAATAAATAATAATGAATGATAATTGACATCAGTGTTTAATCAATACCAAATCTCTAATGATTATACAAATCTTTTTTGTCTGTTTACTTATTTAGTTAGTTAGTTAGTTAGTGGGTTTTGTTTTTTTCTTTGTTCTTCAAGACATAGTTGCTCTGTGTAACAGTCCTAGCTCTCCTGGAACTTATTTTGTAGACCAGGCCAAGTGCTAGGAATAAAGGCATGTGACGACCACCACCCTTTGATTTATTTTTGTTTCCAAAAGATGTCAGTAAATCCAGCTATTGTATTTGGTTGAAATAATTCTTAATTTGCTTAAATTTACTTTCCTTCTGTCTTTTTTATTACTTGGAACTGATTTCCATAGGAATATGAACTTGCAATAATCCAAAACTTTTTACTCTTAAAGTCTGTGTTAAAAATCCATTGATTCACTACAATATCTCAGTGTCCACAAGTCATCATTTAGATTCACTGTTTTCTTTTAAATCTTTTACTTTATGAAATCAATCTAACTGTGCACTGGAGATGTAGGTCAATTGGCAGAGAGAGATTTACCATCATGAATAAGGTCTTAGGTTCAATCCCCAACACCTCATCACATGCAGGTGCTTGTGGGTCCCTGTAGTTCTGGTTTTCAGGGAGTAGAGATAAGAGGGACAATTACTTCCAGGTCATCCTTGGCACATAGTGCGTTAGAGGCTAGCCTAGGCTACTTGAGACCCTGTTTCAAAAAAAAAAAAAAGAATATCAACAGCAAATCCCCAATGTCACTCTGGAGCTTCCTCTTTCTGTCTCACCCATATCAATTGACAGACTTAATCTCTGTTTCCAAATCCAATCACAATTATCATTCTTCATATATTATCTTTTTCAAGACCTCCTCAATTGCAACCTAGATTACATCATCAACATTACTATATTTCCTATGATTGTTCTTGCAACAATATAAATTGTAGTGGTATTTGCTCTGCCCATGACCTTGGGCTATATGGCCCAAAGGAGGTGGTACTTCCTGCCTTTCCCTTTAAAAAAAATGGGTAACAGAATTTATTAAGATACAAATTGAGGAAATACACTCACAAATACAGAATGGAGTAGACAGCTGAAGTTGTCCTCTGATCTGACCAGGAGTGAATCCACCTTGCAGGCAGGAACAGGGAGAAGGGGCATGTGACCCTTCTCCAACTCCTTATAAGAGGTCACACACAATGGCAGAAAGCACTGCCTCCTTTGGGCTATATGATAAAAAAAAATTAGATATGAAACTTTAGACTCACAAATATAGGATAGATGATAGAATATTTTCTTTAATTTTGCCAAATAAAAATAGACTAAATATTGTAACTATAATTCTTACTTGATAACTGTTTATTATGTATAATTTTACTATATTAAGCTAAAACTTTTCCTTTTGATTAGATAAAAAAGGGGAAATGCTGAGGGATGTCTTTCTGTATGCTGTGAATATGTGTTGTTCCCATTGGTTAATAAATAAGCTGCTTTGGCCTATGGCAAGGCAGCTTAGAGGCGGGCAGGAAATCCAAGGAGAGAGACAGGAAAGAGAAAGGCAGAGTCTGGAGAGATGCCAGCCAGCTGCCAAAGGAGCAACATGTAATGGGACATAGATAAAGCCACTGAACATATGGCGATACATAGATTAATAGTTATGGGTTAATTTAAGTTTTAAGAGCCAGCTAGCAAGAAGCCTGCCACAGGCCATACAATTTGCAAATAGTATTAAGCCTCTGAATAATTATTTTATAAGTGGCCGCAGGACTGTGGGGCCAGATGGGACCAGAGGAAACTTTCGACTGCAATGAATGATCAGCCACAGTTATCCTATTGACACTGAAGCCTTGTCATGTCAAGTCAACTCCGAGAGGCACCAATAGGATCCCCAGTTTTCTCAGAGAAAGTTCATTACATATACAGTGTACATGCTACATACAACATAGCTTTGAATATAGTTTTTTCACTTCTGGGCTCTCTCGTGTCTGAATCCCAGTCACCCTGGTTGTCTTCTCATCTCAGGACTTTGTACTTCGTGACTGCTTCCTTTCCTTGTTACTCCCCCCCCCCCCCAACAGCCAATTCATAATTAACTTAATCACCTTTCTCTAGGTTCTGCTTCAGGTAGGCAGGATTCAGGATTTATAATCCCATTGGGATGTAAATTTGTTTCTGCCTCTACCATTGACCATTCTTTCATTATGCATCAGTTTCTCCACAGCACTTGCTGCCACATACTGTGTATCTGTCTAGGGTCATTTGCTGTCAGCCTCCCACAGTATAATGAACCTCGGGCAGCAGAATGTGCCCTTGTCTTGCTCACTTCTTCATCACCAGCACACGGGTGTACGGCGGGTTATCATCAGGCAATGGATGAAGGCTATGAGGAAAACACCAGATGTTTCTTCTGAACATTTGAGCCTGCTCTGTAGTTGTAACTGGTGTGTATGAAATTGAAATCCTACTAAATTAATAGCTGATGCTCAGAGTCAGACAAGAGCACAAAACAGTCTAATTCAAGACAGAAATATCCTAGAATCATACTGTGATGAGCCCAAGCATGCACAGAACATGCAGCGCCTGTCCAATCCACAGGACAAATGGGGACAGCTGTGCAGGAAACCAGAGCTGCAGAACACTGTTTAACTTGACTGCAGACACAGGCCAGGAAGGGGTGGCTAAAGAGAATGTCCTAAAAGGGAAGCTAGACCTGCTTAAATAAACACCATAGTCAGACTGAAGGGACAGTCACCCACAGAGCACAGACAGACAGACGTCCCTGCAGCACACAGGCTATTCTATCTTTTCAGTTCCCCTCTCATTCTTTCAGTTCTAGCACCTGGATTTGTGGTGCAGACTCCAGTGTGATAGTTGTTTGCAAGGTCTGTCCACTGAATGCAAACAGGAAATTAGTAGGGTGTAACACAGCAAGTGTTACAAAAGGAAGCCTGCCTAAGTGACAGCTGCCACCACATCCTGACACAGCTCAAGTTCTCACAGATGGAGAGAAGTTGCTTAGCACTCCTGCTTTACAATAAAGAAAAGCACAGTGAACAAGACTCTTCAGGCACAGATTTCCACAGCCAGCTACAACAGAAGCAGCCTGCAGAGAGACCTCTTCTCCACAGGCCAGAGGCCTCGGGATGCAAGGAATTAAATAGTTGACCATGAACTAGGCAGCAAGATGAGAGTGAGATACAGCAATCTCGTGCACACTGCAGAGATATTCCATTACCTGAAGCATCCGTTGACAGCCATTATAGGGAGAGTCATAAGAGGCAAGCCACAACAATTGGATACGTTTACTAAAAACAATATTCAGATCATTTCCTTTAGGTCTATCTCAGCTTGAAGGACTGGCAAAGACCATCCCTAAGCCTGCCCAATCCAGCTCCCATCAAAACACTCTAGCATCCAAGCTGAGGATCCCTCTCTCAGAGCACCTTCCTAAGTGACTTGTTACCTATCAGCTCTTCAGAGAAAAGAGATGGTGAGGGTTAAAAGTTAAATATGAATGCTCCTGTCCGCTTACCAGAAAATTCTGTGTCCAGTGTATGCACTCACTGCAGGTCAGCTGCAGGAACCGCTATCCACTGCACTCCAGGCTCTTCACATGAACCCACCCCTGCTTCCTCTGTGGAAATGAGCAGGTTCATGTCAGTTCAGCAAAACTTAACACACTCTTCTGGGCTCTGCCCCCTCCCCTCTCAGTGTGTTTTTGCCAATCATGGAAGACCATCTAGTTGCTTTGCAGAATCACTTGCATTTCCAAGAAGAGGAAAGTGAAATAAAATGAACAGCTGTTTTTCATTCTATCAACACTTCCTTTCTTGGCATAAAAAGCTGGGCGGTCCTAAAATAACAATGTGGAACAGGGCTTGGAAAAAGAAGGGGAACACAGAGAAGCAGATTACTAGCTAGACTCTAATACAACCCTTGAAAGACAACTTTCCTGGTCCCCAACTCCACAAATGCAGCGTGAACTGAAGTCACACAACACATTGTATGGGGTCCTGTGCAGATGCCAAATTAATTTCACCCAAGACACAACCCATTTGACCCCCTCTATATACAACCTTATTTCTTCACAATTGTGGGTTCATGGTCCCTAATTCTTGTCCTTCTCAACTCCCCTATTAATGCAGGGGTTTGCCTGACTTAGGATTGACAGGTCTTACACATGCTGTCATGACCACTGTGAGTTTATGTGGAGCTGTCCTGCAGTGTCCAGAAGACACTGATTCCTTGTGATCAACCACCAGCTCTGGCTCCTACAGTCTTTTCACCCTTTCTTCCTCAGCCATCCCTGTGCCTTTGGAAGTAGAAATATGTATATTCCATTTAGTTCTGGATATTTATCAGTGTCTTATTCTATGCATCTTGGCCAGTTGTGGATATTGATTACCATCTACTGCAAATATGAGCTTCAATGATAGGGGTTAAGCAATAGCCTAACCTATGGGTGTAATGGAAAATCATTAAATATTATGTCCATTTAGCATAACAATAGTAGTAGGTTCTCACTAGGGTATATGACCCATATAGCCTCAGGCTATTGTCTAGATATGGTACCAAATATGGGTTTCATATTGTGGAGTAATATAAAACCAATCAGGATGTAGTTCATTACTACCATGGCATTCTTCTCACTATAACATTGGTGGTTATATCTTATCTGTCCAGTCATTATTGTAGCTCACAGAATTCACACCTGGATATGATCAATGTTTCATTTTCTCCTCTGCTAGTGTGGCTAGAACCTTCCAGCACTATGAAAGATAACCACTATGGATGGATCTTCTGCATCTGTATTAGTTTGATTTTTTTCCATGTTCTATAACTCAGGAATGTGGTGTTTTCACTAACAGGATCCCACTATCAATATCTGGAAGGTAACCAAGGGCACTGACAATGGTCTGTAATTACCAGGGTTATCACTGGCCAACAAGTCCAAAAAAGCTAAGTAATTCCTGTGTCTGTCTGGGAGCCTGCAGAGGTTTCCTAGTGAGATCTGAGCTTGCTTTACCAACAGAGCTGCATAAGAGGATGATTGGACCATGGGCCTGGGTACCAGGTGTTTGGAAAGGTATATACTTGGTTGTATCTAGCAAAGGGGAGGTTTTTCACCTTATCCCTTGGCATTGTTATAAAAAGCCCTTTTGAGTCAAGTTCTGGGCCATTGGATATTGACCAAGATCCTCCCAAAGCTATCCTGTGTTTCTGTCTCTCTTCTTCTTTGCTAGGCCTATCATTCTATCTACAGGTTCCTTATTCCTCTCTCTTCCTCACAGGAACTCTTTAAAAAGGTGGGAGCAGGCCTCCCACAAGTCTGGGCTCTTGATTTGTTACCTTGTGGTGCCTAGCAGGGACACTGTTGCCCCAGGAGAGGGCAACTCCATCTTCTTTTTTATATGTGTATAGATATAATTAGGAAGCCTCTACATTTGGAGGTTACATATGGTATTTTGAAAACCCTTTAGTGTTATTTATCCCTTCTACTTTCACTCCCCTCCCCTATTCTCACCTCCCAGCTCAATTTAACCCTTCTTTGTCCACATTTCTCTTTTAAACCTCATTTTCCTTCTCTTGCAAGTCTCACTCCATGGCACCATAGTAACTTCCAACCCTCTGTGGGTATCACAAATGGAACACACATATCTGAAGGGTTGAAGCTAAGTTCTACACATGAGAGGGATTAAATGATGTTTGTCTTTCTGAGTCTTTCTTACCTCACTCAGAATGATTGTATTCATCTCCAGCCAATTCCCCATAAATTTCATAGTTCCCATTTTGCTTAACAGATGAGTAATATTCCATTCTGTAAAGCTGCACATTTTCCTCATCCATTCATCAGTTGATGGGCATCTAAGATTGTTTTCCATTTCTTGGCCATTGTGAATACAGCAGGAATGATTGAGGAGCAAGTAGCTCAAAAGCAGGAATAAAGGCATTTGAGAATATTCCCAAGAGTATTACAGGTGGATCATGTAGTAAATCTATGTTCCCTCTTTGTAGAGCTTCCATACAATTTATCATAGTAACTGCCCCAGTTTGCACTCCCACCATCAGGGACTGAGTGTTCTCCTCTCCCCACACCCACAGCAGCATTTGCTACTATTTGTACTTTTGTTTCTAGCCATTCTGACTAGGGTGAGGTGAAATCTTAAAGTAGTTTTGACTTGTGTGTCCTTGATGGGTAAAAATGTTGAACATTTCAGGGCAGTGATGGAACTCTCTTTAATCACAGCACTTGCCAGGCAGATGCAGGTAGATCTCTGTGAGTTTGAGGCCAGCCTGATCTACAAAGCAAGTTCCAGGAGTACCAAAACTGTTACACAGAGAAACCTTGTCTCAAAAAAAAAAAAAAAAGAATGTTTATTTTTTAGGCATTTGCATGTCATCTTTTCAGAACTTTCTGTTTAGATTATGCTCCATTTTTAGATTGTGTTGTTTGTTTTCTTGATGTTTAATATTTATTTACAGATTCCAAATACTAAGCCCCTGTCCAGAACATAGCTGGTAAACATTTTTCCCATTCTATAAGATTTCCTCCTCACTCAAGTGATAGTGTCTTTTAAAAATATTATGAGACAGCATCTTCCTTTGTATCTCATGTAGGTCCAGCATCCCTATAGTACTATATAGTCCACACTGGCCTTGAGCTCCAGGTGATTCTCCTGCCTCAGCCTCCTGGCTGCTGAGATTACAGCTGTGAATCACCATGCCTTGACTGACTCAGAAACATACTTTTTGATCTTGTGAGCCAATATACAGCTTATTGGCATTGTGTGTACATTAAACAGCCCTCTGTGGGTTAGATTGAAGGGTGTAGTATCTAGTCTAATTTCAATTTCTTTGAGTTCCCATGAGAAATCATACACAGCTCACCTATAGCAGCTGTTTTTAGGAACTCTGGTTCATTCTAAGCATATCTGCTGGGTGGACATTGAGTAGAATCTGGTCACGAGTGGCAGAGATCAGCCAACATCAATGAAGACACCTGCTGAAAGACCCTAACCCTCCAGGCTTGAACTAAAAAGCTAGTTCCAATGGCAGACTGACTCAGCCACAATGTAACAATGTTAAGAGATTTCTATTAAGAGATGCAGTCAACTGTGACTGGGATAATTGCAAGTGTTCCAGGAAAGACCACTGTAACCTTTGTGTAACTTTCACTCCCACCCTGATACCCCCCTTGAGGTTTCCAGAAGAATGTGCATGCGGATGTGACTGTACCCACCCTGTGATCAGGCCATGATCTTGTGAAATTAGCCTCTAGACATAAATCAATCAAAACGAAATTGTATGGGAATTGTATGATCCTGTGGCTTTTTGTGGGTTTTTCCTTTAAAAGCACTTATGTGGCTGCAGTAGGATGCGACTCTTGCTCTCAGGACAGGAGTATCCCGACTGTACAGCCACATCAATAAGCCTCTTGCTGTTTGCATCAACTGGACCGGAGTCTGGGTTCTTGGGGCACCCACCCGAGAAGGTAGTACCCTGGGTTTGGGGTCTATCACTGCCATGGTCAATTTTGTCATCTGAGCCACTAGAGCTCATTTCCAGAGTTGTAATTTGATTAGGTGTTGATGATGTTCTTCTTTTCCCCTGGGCTGGGTCAGAACCTGGGGCGCTGTCTGCTCACAGTTCTTAGAGAAAAGTGAGAGCTGTTCTGACCTTGGAAGGAATGCAGGACTCCCAGTGGACAAGGATAGCTACATTCCCAGTCATTGCCGGGAATTCGAAACTGAAACTCCTTCTCTATGCTGCTTGCTGGTCAGAAATGGTGCACACAGGGAATGTGGGAAGAAATGGAAGCAAGAGAGGGGACGCTGTGGTTGAGCCTCCCCTCTCCATGGAGACCCTTCACTCTTCCTTCTCCCTGTCTGTCCCTTTCTCACCGGCACACCGTCCTTCAGCCCCACCACGGTACATTCACCCCCATGTTTTGTATTTTTCAACATGTTCTTATGAAGGCAGACTGGCCTTGTATTTCAGTGGAACAGTTGATGACCTTAAATTTCTGTTTGTTTTATCTCCAGCTCCCCAGTGCTGGCATCACTGGTGTGATTTGGTAATCCAGGGTTTCTGAACTCTACCAACTGAACTACACCCCTAGTCTTTCCCTTTGCTTCTTTGTTTGTTTGTTTGTTTGGTTTTTCGAGACAGGGTTTCTCTGTGTAGTTTTGCGCCTTTCCTGTAACTCACTTGGTAGCCCAGGCTGGCCTTGAACTCACAGAGATCCTCCTGGCTCTGCCTCCCGAGTGCTGGGATTAAAGGCGTGCGCCACCACCGCCCGGCTTACCCTTGCTTCTTTTCAAAAAAAAATTTAAATAATGTTTATTTATTTATTTATTTATTTATTTATTTATTTAGATATGGTGATTATACAGACCTTTGCTACTTTGTAGGACCACTTATCTCTAAAAGTGAAATATTTAGGGTTGGAGTGTTGGCTCAGTGGTAAAGCATGAGGACCTCACTTTTGAGGACACCCACAAAAGCCATGTATGATGAAGTGGGATCACTGTGCAGTCTTCTACCCAACAATGATAATTAGGGTCAATGAGAGACCCTGTCTTAAAAAATAAGTTGGAAAGTGAAGAGAAACACACCATACATTGATCCCCAG